TTGTTATTTACCATCTAAATAGTAAACTCTCAATGTCAAATTCACCGAATTTTTTTTATCTTTAGCCGGCAAGGCCCCATTTATAATCATTTCATTAATTGTGATTTACTACTTATATACCAAAATTTTTGAAAAATGCTCATGAGTGTCTTATAATTATTAGAAATGCTAGAATACAGTGTCTTAGAATTGGTCATACTTTCAAGTACTATCATCAAATATCGCAATTTTATCGTAGTTCTATGTTCGCCTGGCAGATGGTATAAGCTCATAAAAAATTCTTCATCTTGCTTGTGTTGAAGTACATAAACTACCACAGCTCGGTTAAGCAATCTGCTCACGCAACGAGCAAGATACTACCATAAAATACCTTCAAAAATAAAATCTTCCGTGTAAGTGTCGTTCATGCGTAACATTATAGATGATATTTCTGTATTTTAAAAAATGATTAAGATAATCTAGAAAAATTTCAGATGATCAAATCAATTATTTTCTGGCGCCACCACGAGGACCTCGAGTACCGGCCTCGAGAGAAAGCGGCTGGCGCTACGTATTCGTCGCGGAGCGCCAAACATGCGGTGGTGACTTAGGCCATGTGATTCAGTGATTGTTCATGATAAATATTCAGAGTCCAGCAGAATGACGAGCTAGAGAACCCATGCGGTGGTGACTTAGGCTATGTGATTGTTCATGATAAATATTCAGAGTCCAGCAGAATGACGAGGTAGCGAACCGGAGGCGCAGGCATGACGAACTCGTTGCCCACGCGAACTGGATTGGCGGAAGCTGATGCTGGCGCCGAGCAGTCGCAAACCAATAATTATGAGGAATATAAATTCATCCAGAATTAATAATTTTCTCGCCAATCGCAACGAATCTGCGACGGTGTGAATCTGTTCTCTCGAGGCTTTAAACTTGCGTTGTTCACTGCAATATATTTCGGTAAAATATAGATATATATATATACAGATACACGGTGCAAAAGTTCTACTGCTCTCTACCCCAGGCTTCGTAAATTTATTTACTCGAGCGGCGATCCATCGTGGCCTGGGACTGCTACGTCCGAAACACATACTAAAGATAAGGATACTGAGGATAAAGATACTGAGGATAAGGATACTAAGAATAAGGATACTAAGGATAAGGATACTAAAAATAAGGATACTAAGAATAATGATTGCTGAGCTCGGTCACTACGCTAGTTAAACAGTGGTCTGTCCTCCGTGCAGTTGCTGATGAAGGACCAGCTGCCGGCTATAGGGCCAATAATATTTATATGATAATTACGGTCTGTCGCGTTTATTTCAACGAAGAGAAGTAAGCATGGCTCGAAAACTCATCTCACAAGAGACTAGTATAACAACGCTATTCGTGTAATGAAGTAATATTAACATAACGGAGCATCAATATTTTTATTGGAACAGGCACGACTAGCAGTGTAAATTATATCGTTATCATTTGAATTTTTATCAAAAATTTTACATTGAAGCGCCTGATTTGGGAGCGACCGCAACACGGACCAGTTGAAACAGAATAGTTTGAAAATACGCATTTTACATATTTTATGTATGTATTTTGAACATACAATATGTATTTATGTATGTTCATGTATGTGATTTTAACATCAAATATATATGCGACGTATTTCTTGACGACTGAAAAGAAACGATAATTTTACTCTAAAATTCGATATAATGTTTTAGATTCTATTAAACACTCATTTGATAGCTGATTTTAAAGTATCAAAAACACTTGACAGAACTGGTGTGAAACAACTGAAAACAATTGATAACTAGCAGATAAGCGCTATATTGGTGTAAACAATTGAAGACAAGTGATAAATTGCAGATAAACGCTATACTGGTGTGAAACAATTGAAAACAAGTGGTAACATGCAGACAAACCCTGTATAGACACCCAATATTCTTGAATAAAAATATCTGTAACTCGAAAGATAGACGGCTGAAAACTTTCCAAAACAATCACGCAAACTTCATAAAATCATTTAGATGATCATAATTAACAAATTAAGTATTGCGAAAATGAAGGAGCCAACCGTACCCTTCTAAAAAAATGTTGATGATGAAAATGATGAGATCAAATTCTTTATTTCAATCTATAGAGCATTAATCTTCTCTTAGAACATTCATAAGTTCAATACATAAGTTCAACTTAAACACACAAAAGTTGAATTTGATTATTGTTATAATAATTAGTGATTGATGTATTGAACTTAACCACCGTAAAAGTTTAACCTGGAAAATTTAAAAAGAATTTTTTCAGACTCTTGTTTGGCTCGTTAGCAGGACAGAGACGATGCATGCTATGCGCAAGACAAAAACGCCATAAATTGAAGAAATACTCATTCATATCAGGAAATTCAGGCAAGAATCATTCATGGTAAGTCCATAACAATGAATTCCCTTCTCTCGAGAAAATGTTCTAAACCGAAGCAAAATACCTTATGTATGAGCAGTTGCGCTGATATGTTATAGTCATTGAGCTTCTATGGATTATTTTGACCTAAAAGCTTCAGCTGCGACACGTGACTCATGGCTGATAAATATATAAAACAAAATATATTATCTGCAAAACTATCAAACTATTTAGTAGCAAAACAATCGTGTACAGGGGCCAAGATAGTTAGTTCGTTGACACACTTGTCAAATAAAAGTAATGATGCCGCATGTCATTATCGAAATATTGTGGACTCAAAGTTCATTACGCAGCATATCAATGTATAAAAATCGTATTACTAATGACTAGCATCGTTCCTTATCCGCCATCATTAATAGAGTTGACAACCATTAACGGTTCAAAGAAAAGGTGTAGTGATCGTAGAGATCTCAGTTTTAAATTATTAACTTTAGACTCGGCTGGGTGTCATTTTTTTTATTGACTTCAGATTCAGCCGAATGAAATTTTTATTTATTACAATCTTTAGACTCGGCTGAATGTAGTTTTTAGATAACACGGTTCAGTGACTGCACTATATATATTAATGGTTAGAATGTTGCTTGATATTTCAATTTGTATTATGTGAATTTCTTATTATATTGCACTGGAAACGCATATTGCAAGAATAATATACATTAAGGAACATTAATACACACAAATTTTATTCTTCAGGACTCAGTTTTTATTGTACAGCTACATCCAGCCATAACATTATGACTTTGGCTGACTTCAATATTTTGTGTTTTAAATTAAACTACAGGAAATTGCTGGCGTTTTTCAAACAGCAAATTAATATGAAGAATTTTTGAGCAAAGAAGAATCACGTAAATTCACTATACCTTCATTGAACGGACTTTGAAGACAAGCTACCTACTGGGTTGGTCTCAAGCCAATGCTTGAGACCACATAATACTAATACAGTCACAAACCAATTAAAGTCGGTATTTAAGGCATTGAGCTGGAGCCAGTTGGACCGTACCTAGTCTGAGACGGCGTCCATGCGGACAGACACCCGGTCTTGCAACGCTGCCGCGTCAGCCGGTGCACAGTAGCCATAAATTTGGGTGTCGTCAGCGAACATATGCGGAATATAACTATGTGAATCAATTATGTGCAATACGTCGACAGCATAACACTATATAACATAATGAGGATCGAGCCTAGAACTGATCCCTAGCTGGGGTACGCCGCATGTGACCAATGATTGCGTAGAGGAAGAGTTCCTTTGTCGAACGCATAGGAATCTATAGCTGACATAGGACACGAACTAACGCAGCACAGTGCCACGCAGGCCGAATGATACGTCAAGTCGACGCATGAATTTTGCGTGATTGACCGTGTCAACCGCGGCCGACAGTTCCATTTAATCTAGTGTCGCAATGTCGCCGCGGTCTACTGCTCGTAGAATGTCTGAAAGCACCTTCAGCACAGCAGTTTCCGTCGAGTGGAGATGACGGTATGCACACTGGAGGAGAGGCATAAGACCGGACTGCTGAAGATGGTGGTTGTTCAGCTGTAGGACCACAACTCGTGCCAGGAGTTATGAAAACATCGACAGGTTGGAGATGGGTTGATATGATTTTGAATCAGAAACGTCAAGGTATGTTTTTTTAATAGCGGCACAATGTAAACTGATTTGAAGTTCATCGCAACAACACCATCAGTGAGGCAGCGGTTGAAAAGTTTGACAAGAAAAAAGGCTAGGGTTACGGTATTCCCCTTTGCCCACATTTGACAGGGCTGAAAAGCTCCGAAATTAACGTATAATATACTTTCCAATACCGCTTTTCATATTTCAGAGTCAGAAGCTTTTTTTATCCAGTTGTGTGGGATAAATGATCCCTGGAACTATCGATCGCCCTAAACATAAATCGTGTTAATTCAAAACGATGTAACAAAACCTTGGTAGAATATTCAAGAATGTTAAGAAATATTTTTTTCGTCTAATATGTAATGATGGCTCTCAATTTCTATTAAGTCTCAGAAACATTCATGTCTCAATGCAAACTTGTTGAATTAATTTTCAACAAGTTAGTTTCGCTTAGAATGATCGCATTGATGTTAATATCATTTGAGAATTTCCCAGTAATGATCATCTTGATCCAAATTATTCCATTTATCGATTCAAAAATTGCTCTATTTGACTTTTGCTTTGTGTTACATGTTTTCTTGTAGAAACAAAAGGTATTCGACGAACAAATATGGCTTCTGTTTAACCACTCTCCTTCATTCCAGTTATCATTTCATCCTTTGGTCCTTTCGACGTCTCTCTGACATTTCTTTGACCCCAAATGCATGTTCGTGAAACTTACTTCAAGTTTAAGACAGCGACGTGTCTCTCGAAACAAAATGTATCGCATCTTCGCCACTTAAATGTAGCTATTGAAGGCTTCTTGGGTCTTTGGTGTTAAATTCTTACGCGTACTTTACTTATTAATTTTTTTAATACCTCATGATTTGAATGCGCGTTCAACATATGAAGAGATTTTGGCAACAGACAACACGACATTTTATCCACATCAAAAGGGCCAATTAAAACAACATTCATGCAGATAATGTATTGTAAGTTATTTCGCACAGCTTGGGTGAAATAATAAAAAAATATCCATTGTTGAAGTGTTCCGAAACTTTTTAAACCTGTCAGGAAAAGAAAAAGCAAGTGTACAGGTTCGAAGGACAACAGCAAGTTACTAATTTTGAAGTGCTAGGAACTATAAAACATTATGATTTCTGATTATATATAAGTATAAAATGATTTCTTACACGCTAATTAATTTGAACATATATTCAAGGCACTTTACATTGAACTTGTCGAATTCTAATAATTTGAAGTGCATCAAACAGCAATTTTTTGACACAGAATATATCATAATATACATATAATTTATATATATACATATCAGTACAAATCGAAATGCTTTACTTCTTCAGAACTGTGTCAATTTCATTTGTGTTTGAATGTAATAATAATTGTTAATATGATTATAAGTAGGAAGTTATTTAATTTATTGTTGTACAAATTACAATAAACTTCCGATTACACAATTTTCCCTGTACGTGACTGGAGAAAGTGGTCCCCTTAATATTATTGTGCACCTGTTGTGAACATTCCAAAGCCGCCAGTCAGATGTAGGAATGAGGACCAGCTGGTGCAGGTCACCCAGTGTACTTGCTCGCAAAGGAGGCGATGCATGCAGCCTTCTTCAGGAACTGTTTGTAATAGTTCATTATATAAAGTAAAAAACACGTTAATGGCATGAAGTGATGCTTCAGTTGAAGTGGATAGTAGTGAAAGAAAGCTTATAATATCAGTGATAACTGTAAGCAACATTATTCAAAGGATATATAGAGGTAGAATGACAGATTCTACAGGTAAGCATATGTTACATTGGCATTAGGAAAGGGCATTACTAGATCAAAGAAACTTGTTTATGGTCTGGAATATCGACACGTATTTTAACAGGAACTATGAATGATTTTCATAAGTTTCTACATACTCGCAAATAAAATTATCACTCGGCCTCCAAGTTAACTGTTGAAATAAATTCAGTTCGACATAATCTTAACTCATTGTCCTGCCATGAAATAAGTTTGTGAGTGTCCCGCTAAGGCAAGAAAAACTTACCGCGTAGTTGTTGATTTGAGTGCCACATTTTTTCGCACCGAAGTCGTACTCGGGTGCGTCGCAGCCAGGTTTGCTGGTGGCGTAAGACTTGAACTTAGCTAAGATCTTCGTGTTGTTGATGGAGCCATCATCGTTCAACTAGAAATAAAAGAATGAGAGCTGTATTCACATTTACTAGGGTTGTAACTTCATAATATTATTTAACAACTAATGAAATTGTTTGAAATGAATATCTCTAATGGTGCACTATATATTGTGTTGGTCACATTTTGAGCTGTCACGTTCAACAACACAAATAATGTAAGTTAATATTCAAATTGGAGTTCATGACAGATAATGTAAAGGCAACTTAGCCTCATTTCCAGACTTACGATTCCAAGTTTTCCAGCTACACATTTCATGTAGGGAACTGCGAGAATTTCGCACTTCTGATCGCCGACAGTGAACTTGTAGTTTTTGCAGACAGGATCACCTGCAGAGCGCGTAAATTGCTACTTATTGTTTTATATCTCTCACGAATTTACTATAATTTCGCTTACTGTTTCGTGATTGGCGTCTAGATAACACCAGTACCTAGAAAAGACAAGGTCTAGAATTGAGTTTTTGAAACCAATATCAATTGGGAGAATTAACCATAGATTAGTGTGGTGGTAGAAAATTTCAGATCAACCAATTGATGGTAATAAATCTTGCAATATCTAACCTGCGAGGGCAGTCAAGGCAGCACTTCCCTTTGGATCCGACTTGCATTCAATGGAGGCAGATGCCTTCTCTGTGTTCCTCAACATGATGACTAAGGCCCTTGCACACGCAGTTACACTGCGGTTAAGAAATGAATACAAACAAGTACACCAGGTGAGTAACATCAAAAGATGAACATTTCTCATTATAGTCAGGAAAACACGTAATATCTATAGCTCTAAATGCAACTTTTTCGCAACTTTTTCGGCATTGAGTTGTAGTGGCTGTACAAAATTAGAGCTCAAAGCAATATTATCAAATAATTTGAGATGAAGGTGAACAGGAGGGGAGAGCACAATGTCCGAATGTAATTGCTGAGTTCACTTACCCTTCAACACCGGAGAAGGCAAAGCCTGCCGTGAGAAGAAGGACAAGACCGAGAGATATCCTCATGTTGGTAGTCGTAAAGGCTTAAAGCGGTCTGAGGCTAAGGCAAAACGCGTCACGAACGAAAGGCTGTTAGAACTTCTGTGACTTTGTACGATACACGGTCTGAATTTATAGCTTTATGATATTATTGGAACAGTTGGTTTTATTTGTCGCATGCCAACAGCTGTTTGTCAGAGATCATCCGTCACCACAGCTAATGGCATCAGCTCCACAATGAATTGTTGATATATAGATTTAACTGTTTGTTAGAAAAAATTAAACTCACTGGTTTAAAAAATTAAAAATATTCAAAATATAGTGGAAATATTAGCAAAGATGACAGAATTATGTTTAACTTTTCTAATTTTTTTCAAGGGAAGTTATCTCCTAGAACAACCTCAATTTGTATTAGAATAATTTTTTTATTACACGTGTATGTACATCTGTCAAGATGACCATATCCTCGGTGCTCAGCGTTTATTCAGGTGAAGTGGCGAAGCTATAAAAAAGACTCTGAATTTGCAAAGACGTCAAAGCTGATGATGTGTCTGATGACTTTAGATCGCAAATGATCACAATCTGAGTTTGTATAGCTAAACTTACACCTCGACATGATCATTCTAAATTGTACGGTGAAATAAATCTTTAAAATTCATGAGCTGACTCATGACTCGATTCCACATTACAATGTACATTCTGGCGTGTGACATTCTGGGTGTCACGCTGGTTACAATCGTTGCAATGCATAGGCTGTCTCGATATTCCTTTCCACATTTCAATATACATTCTGACGTGTGACATTCTGGGTGTCATGCTAGTTACAATCGTTCCAATCCGTTGGCTGTCTCCATATTCCATCCCACAATAAAATATACATTCTATCCTTCAAAACTCAGAGATGCACGGGATTAATGAGTGCCAAAACTGCATTCATTAATGGGAGTTCCAAACCTGCGTATCAAAATGGGAGTTCGAATAGCGTAGCGGGCTGCAGATCGGCCAAAAAGCTTTCGAATTGTACCGTCGCTATGTTTTTTCTGCGTGTCCCCTGTTAAATGAACGCACTACTATCTGATAAGCACAGTCCCTTTATCTTTAGTACATGTACTTAATCTGGAGTCGCGTAATTTTCGGATTTCAGATCACGACGGAAAAATCGCAACCCTCGCACTCCGAGTTGCCTGCAGAACAAATAAATTGCTCATAACTGGGCCTTCATAGGTGGTGGAAAACACATAGAAGTTTATTTATACCCATCATGTTTAATAATAAGCTGGCTTCACCTACTTTATTATCTGTGTTCCATTGTGTGATAGCGCAAAGTTACGAAAAAAATTTTTAATCATTGACTTTCTTCAAAAAATTTTGTATGTTGGAAGGAGCTATATTTTTTGCTCGTCATCTGCAAACTTTTCTGATTGTAAACCGCTGTCGATTTAAAAAAAAGGAAAGCTACTTCTTTTCGTCAGCGCTTAGCTTAAATCGATCTGAATGCAACACAATTATTGTGTAAATCGACCAACTGTATTGATTTTAACTGTTAATAGAATGCATGTGAATCTATTCACCATGATTTATAGAGTTGCCCTTCTTTGAAAGTCAATATGTATGTCGTGCAGAACCACGGAATTACCAAATCTATGAAATCAACAGCCAGTTTGCCGAATCTGTAGAGTCAGCATTTCGTTGCCGATTCAGAAAATCGGACGTTAGAATTTGAATAAATCGACAGTAAGAGTCAGAAAAGGTTTGGTCAAGTTCCTTTATATTTAAATATTAAAAAACTTGGCTGACTGACTTAACCCTAGATTCCCATAGTTTGGAAATGCTGATTCTACCGATCCGGCAAACTGGCTGCCGATTCCATCGAATCGGCAATTCCACGATTTCGGCACGACATGTATTACCCGAATGGGTATACCATGTGCCGATGTGCCGCATAGCAATGAATTCCTTTCTCGTGAGAAGAGCTTCGAAACCGAAGCCAAATATCTTCTGCATGAACAGTTGTACAGATAGATTTTTTTGTATGGGCAGTTGTACTGTCATTGAGATTTTATTAATTATTTCGATCTCAAAGCTTCAGCTGCGACACGTGACTCATGGCTGCTAAAACAAATACAACAAAATATATTATCTGAAAGACTATCAAACTATTTGGTAGCAAAATAATCGTGTACAGGGGCCAAGATAGTTAGTTCGTTGACACATGTGTAAAATAAAAGTAATGATGCCGCATGTCATTATCGAAATATTGTGGACTCAAAGTTCATTACGCAGCATGTCAATGGATGAAAATCATATTAAGAAAGACTAGCATCGTTCATCAACCGCCATCATTAATAAAGTTGAAAACCATTAACGGTTGATAAAATGATGTAACGATCGTTGAGAATACAGTATTAAATTATTAACTTTAGACTCGGCTGAATGTAATTTTTATTTCTTATTAACTTGAGACTTGGCTGAATGTAATTTGTATTTATTATCAATTTAAATTCAGCCGAATGTAATTTTTATTTATTATTAACTTTTGACTCGGCTATTTGTAATTTTTATTCATTATTAACTTAAGACTCGGCTGAACGTAATTTTTTTATTATTAACTTTAGACTCGACTGAGTGTAATTTTTTTATTATTAACTTTAGACTGAACTGGATGTAGTTTTTATGTATTATCAAATAATGACTCGGCTGAATGTATTTTTTGAGGAAAACGGTGTAGTGAATGCATTATATTTTCGTGGTTTGAATGTTGCGTGAAATTGGTATGTGGCGTTGAATTTGTATTTTTTTTAATCTCCTATCATCACAAAAATGGAAGCACATACTGCAGGAATAATATACATTATGAAACCTCAACATACATAAATTTAATTGTTTAGGACTCGTTTCCTTTTGTACATTTACATTCAGCCATAACATTATGACTTAGACTGACTTCAATATTTTATGATTTAAATTGAACCACATGAGATTAATGTAGTTTTTCATGCAGCAAATTATTATGAAGAATTTTTATGCAAAGAAAACATCATGTAAATTCGCTATATATTCATTGAAATGGATTTGAAGACAAGCTATCTATTGGGTTGGTACCAAGCTAATGCTTGGGAGCACACAATATTAATGCAGTCACAAACCAAGAGAAGTCAGTTTTTAATGCATTGAGCTGGAACCAGTTGGACCGTACCCAGTCTGAGACGGCGTCCATGCCGACAGACACCCGGTCTTGCAACGCTGTCGCGTCAGCCGGTGCACAGTAGCCATAAATTTGGGTGTCGTCAGCGAACATGTGCGGATTAAAACTATGTGAATCAATTATGTGCAATATGTCGACAGTACATAAAAGAATGAGGATCGAGCCTAGAACTGATCCCTAGCTGGGGTACGCCGCATGTGACCAGTGATTGCGTAGAGTAAGAGTTCCCTTGTCGAACGCATAGGAATCTATTGCTGAGATAGGACTCTAACTAACGCAGCACAGTGCCACGCAGGCCGAATGATACGTCAAGTCGACGCATGAATGTTGCGTGATTGACCGTGTCAACCGCGGACTACAGTTCCATTTAATCTAGTGTCGCAATGTCGCCGCGGTCTACTGCGCGTAGAATGTCTGAAAGCACCTTCAGCACAGCAGTTTCCGTCGAGTGGAGATGACGGTATGCAAACTGGAGGAGAGGCATAAGACCGGACTGCTGAAGATGGTGGTTGTTCAGCTGTAGGACCACAACTCGTGCCAGGAGTTATGAAAACATCGACAGGTTGGAGATGGGTTGATATGATTTTGAATCAGATGCATCAAGGTATGTTTTTCTTGATAGCGGCACAATGTAAACTGATTTGAAGTTCATCGCAACAACACCATCAGTGAGGCAGCGGTTGAAAAGTTTGACAAGAAAAAGGCTAGGGTTACGGTATTCCCCTTTGCCCACATTTGACAGGGCTGAAAAGCTCCGAAATTAACGTATAATATACTTTTCAATACTGCTGTTCATATTTCAGAGTCAGAAGCTTTTTTTATCCAGTTGTGTGGGATAAATTATAACTAAAACTATCGATCGCTCTAAACATAAATCGTGTTAATTCAAAACGATGTAACAAAACCTTGGCAGAATATTCAAGAATGTTAAGAACAATTTTTTTTCGTCTGATATGTAACGATGGCTCTCGATTTCTATCAAGTCTCAGAAAGATTCATTTCTCAATGCAAACTTGTTGAATTAATTTTCAACAAGTTAGTTTCGCTTAGAAGGATCGCATTGATGTTAATATCATTTGAGAATTTCCCAGTAATGATCATCTTGATCCAGATTATTCCGATTATCGATTCAAAAATTGCTCTATTTGCCTTTTGCTTTGTGTTACATGTTTTCTTGTAGAAACACATGGTATTCGACGAACAAATGTGGCTTCTGTGTAACCACTCTCCTTCATTCCAGTTATCATTTCATCCTTAGGTCCTTTCGACGTCTCTCTGACATTTCTTTGACCCCAAATGCATGTTCATGTAACTTACTTCAAGTTTAAGACAGCGACGTGCCTCTCGAAACAAAATGCATGGCATCTTCGCCATTTAAATGTAGCTATTGAAGGTTTCTTGGGTCTTTGGTGTTAAATTCTTACGCCTACTTTACTTATTACTTTTTTTATTACTCATGATTTGAATGCGCGTTCAATATATGAAGAGATTTTGGCAACAGACAACACGACATTTTATCCACACCAAAAGGGCCAATCAAAACAACATTCATGCAGATAATGTATTGTAAGTTATTTCGCACAGCTTGGGTGAAATAATGAAAAAAAATCTATTGTTGAAGTGTTCCAAAACTTTTTCAACCTGTCAGGAGAAGAAAAAACAAGTGCACAGGTTCGAAGGATAACAACAAGTCACTAATTTTGAAGTGCAAGGATCTCTAAAAACATTATGATTTCTGATTATAATTAAGTTCATAATGACTGGTTCCACGCTAATTTATTCGAACTTATATTCAAGCCACATTATATTATATATACAGGGTGCGGAAGAGAGGACGGACGGTTTTATAAAAGTCTTAAAACAGTATATTTTTACTGAAAAACAACCTTATTGATGCAATTAGGTTCACAAAGAA